GCCTTTCTAAATAGATGGGTTTCAAAAATCTTAATAAATGCTTTGCCTAGTATCTACCTACTAATATATAGTGGAAGCTAGAAAAAATTTTTTCTGAAGTGGTCATATGTAGATTTTTCAATCCCCATGAATGACTTATCAAATTTTATGTATGTGTTGATTAACTGGGGGATCATGATCAGATATGAATTATAACTCAGTTGATTTGTGGTTAATCTACCTTTCCAAAATGCTTCTGGGTGGTACTGAAATCTGACCACAGCCTGGGCAGCAATGCTCTAGGAAGTTCCCGGGTCATTAAACTGTTATGAGAATGAAAAACGAGCTCAAATCTCTGTCTATCCTAGTGGGGGGTTAAACAGCTCTTTTCCTACTTCTCCTACCTGAAGAATCTCTCAGGGCTCTAGCACTTCTAAATCTGCTTTTCCAATGTATAATCCTTTTCAATTCCACCTGAAAGAGGAAGGTTTGATAACCTTTGTGCAGTGAGCAAGCTTCCATTTAGTCATAATACTCTTGTGGCTTATGTGAACCCAAGGTCATACTTTCTACTTCAATTCCTTAATTTATATGTTTTCAATTGAGGGAAGGTGGAATGACTGACTCAAGGTCACTTATCCAATAACTGTAAAGGTCATGTCTCAAATCCCAATTTCTGAATCCGAATTCAATCCTATTTCATCCAGTTTTTCTTGCTTCTAATAATGATGCATGCCACAGGAGACAAACTGGGTAATTTAGATATAAAATACAAATTCTGAATTGAATTCCCCAGCCTTGGACTTTCTTGAGAGACACTTAAGTTTTGGGGATGTAAGTTTCTTCAAAGGGGGAGGTTTTGTGTTTTAAAGTGAGACTTGGAATTCATCAATAAATTGTGAAGTTCAGCTTTCTATATTATGAGATAAGGGCATATTGGAAAAGATTGAATATCTCACTGTGGGAAATGGGAGCAAGAACTACCTTAGACTTCTCCAATTCTAATGTTCCACATGAAATAGCTCAGCAAACCACATGTAGGAGCCAAAGCCAGATGGGAATGTCCCCATTAATGACTTCCATGAATAATTTTCTTTGGAAAAAAACAAATGATGACCATGCCATCTGTCATTGTCAATTCCATCCATCCAACTGCATACTCTTTCTTTCTTTCTTTCTCTTTCTTTCTTTCTTTCTTTCTTTCTTTCTTTCTTTCTTTCTTCCTCACTATCTTTCTCTCTTTAGAAATCAGCATATTACAAGATGTAGCAATTCCACTCTTAGGCATATACCCAAAAGATGCACATTCATACAAGGATATCTGTTCAACCATGTTCACAGCAGCATTGTTTGTAACAGGCAGAAACTGAAAGCAGCCTAGATGCCCCTCAACTGAAGAATGGATAGAGAAAATGTGGTACATTTACACAATTTAATACTACCAAAAAAAAAAAAAAGGAATCTTGAAAGTCGAGAGCAAATGGATGGAACTAGAAGAAACCATCCTGAGTGAGGTAACCCAGTCACAAAAAGGGAAAAATGGTATGTACTCACTCATATATGGATTTTAGACCTAGAGCAAAGGAGTACCAGCCTAAATCCACACGGTCAGAGAGAAGCTTGGAAACCTTAGAGAGGTTTCCAAGGACCCTAAGAGAGACATACATAGTCCCCCAGAGAAGGGGAAATCGACAAGATCTCCTGAGCTAATAGGGAGCATGAGAGAGGGGAGAGGGAGTTAGAAGGAAGAGTGGGAGAGGAGGACTGGAAGGAACAAGAAGATCAAATCAGGAGAGAATAGAGGAGAGCAAGAATTAGATAACATAATAGAGGGAGCCATTATAGGTTTAAAGAGAAAACTGACACTAGGGAGATTCCAGAGATCTACAAGTTTGACCCCACCTAACAATCTAAACAATAGTCAAGAGGCTACCTTAAATGCCCTTCCCCTATAATGAGATTGATGGCTACCCTATATGTTATCCTAGAGCCTTCATCCAGTAGATGATGGAAGCAGAAACAGACATCCACAGCTAAACACTGAGCTGAACTCTGGAATCCAGTTGCAGAGAGGGAGGAGTGATGAGCAAAATGGTCAAGACCAGGCTGGAGAAACACGCAGAAACAGCTGACATGAACAAGGACCCCAGGTTGCTCATGGACCCCAGACTGATAGCTTGGAAACCAGCATAGGATTGTTCCAGAACCCCTGAATGAGAATGTCAGTTTGGAGGTCTGGTTAATCTATGGGGTCTCTGGTAGTGTATAAGTATTTATCCCTAGAACAGGAATGGACTTTGAGAGCCTAATCTATATAGAGGGATACTCTCCTAGCCTAGACATATGGGGGAGGGTCTAGGCTTTGCTCCAAATGATATGATAGACTTTAAGGATCCCCCATAGAAGGGCTCACCCCCATGGGGAGCAGAAAAGGATGGGATATGAGGTCAGTGGGGGGCAGTGGAGGAGGGGAGAGAGAGTGAACTGGGATTGGCATGTAAAAGTAACTTATTTTGAATTTATAAATAAATAAAAATAAAGCAAATAGGCAAAAAAGAATACATACAAATACACAAAAATTTAAGATAGAAAACCATAATATATAGATAAAAAGACAGTCTACAAAATATCAATGAGTTTGCATTGTATGTAGTTTGTTTTGCATGGTTATCTGTTGCATGGCAAAGTGCCTACTTTTACGAGTGATTAGTATATCCAATGAGATTCCATTGGTTAAATAAAATTTTCCATTGCTAGTAGTTACCATTGCAGATAGATTCTTAGTTATGGGTGGGTTCCCATGTACTGTCCCCCATCTAAGTGCTGGGACCCTTCATTAGCTAGTTTTGTGAAAACTTGACTCAAGCTAGAGTCATCTGAAAGGAGGGAACCTCAATTGAGAAACAACCTACATATCATTTACTTATAGGATATTTTTCTTAATAAGTGATTAATGGAGGAAGGCCCATAACAATGAATAGTAACCCTAACTAATATGGACCCCATTTAGTTTGAAATTGTGTGGTCCTGATGATGCTGTTACTGTCTCTGTGAGTTCATATATGTATCTGTCCTGTTGTATCTGAAAGACACTTTCGCCTTGCAGTCATCTATACCTTCTGGCTGTTATAATCTTTCTGTCATCTGTTCACTGAGGATCTGATGGGAGTCCTCTGAGCTCTGAAGGAGGGATTTGATGCGGACATCCTGTTGGGGACTGATTGTTCCCATCTCCTGAGTCTTTGCACCTTGACTGTTTGAATGACCATGAACCTTAGACTGAACATGTCACAGTCCTAGGGGGAAAGTAAATGCTATTGATCCTCTAAAAGAACATAGCAATAAAATGACTCCTAATGACACTCTGCTATAACCAAAGATCAAAGTCTTGCTCAACTATCATCATTGAAGCTTCCTCTTACAGGAGATGGGAATGAGCACAGACCCACAACTGAATGACATGCAGTAGAAATTACACTTTAATTTCAAGTGAGCATGTCTATTTATTGGGCTTTAAAATTTTCTTATTCTTATCTATCTTGTTTCTGTTGTTTGACTCTTTGTTTTCTAGAGACACAAAGAAAGAAAGGCCATAGAGTTGAATGGGTGGGAGTGGGGGGGAGCTGCAAAAAGTAGGGAGAGGGAAACCACAATCAGAGTATATTTATTTTCAATAAAAAATAGACATATTAAACTACTTTGGCAAAAAAAGGAAGTCAATAATTTTGACCTATCCCCATAGCTACCTCGAAGCCAGCAATGATAAACATGTAGTTCTTCTTTCAGACAGGTCCATTGTGAGTGCTATATAAAAGAATTTCATGCTTGAGTTTCGGGGGTAGGAAGACTGTCACCCCAAGCCATGCAGTTGATAGCACATCTTTACAGAAGTAATTATTATATTTCCATGATGGGATTAAGGGAAAAGAAAAGCACCTGTGATGCAGAATTCCCATCTTAGTCTCTCTATGTTATGTTTTGAGATGTTCCCATGTGGAGAATGACCTATGATCCTACCTTCAAGGGCAATCAACTTTGTAACTTCTGGATCTTGTGTAAGAAAAATTAATATCCTATAGTTTGCTTGTTAATAATCTGAGACTTAGAGAGCACTCCAGGAAGGCTAGGTGCCTGTTATATGGAACAAGATTTGTAGGTACTGTAGGTACCTTCTCCTGAAGTTATACAAATTCCTGACTGTGGACACACTCTGGGAAATCAAAGGCGGCTTCCAGTTTCTCAGAGCTAGTATGTCTGCCCTGAGGATTTGAAAATCTGACTAAGCCTGACATGGCAAGATTTGTCTTCTAGTTTATAAACCATTGTCACTTTCATATTCATTGACAATATTCCATATACATTCTTGCTACCCCATATTGTCTCTCACCCTATCCTTGTTACTCTGACCAATACATTACCCCTCCTTCAAAATCCCTCATGCAAGTGGCCACCTCTGTAATAACATCCTTCACCAGCTCAGAGCTTATTGTGGCCTTCCTACATGCTAGGCTACACAGTGGGTAAGGTCCTTTGTCTCTCATTGTGCATTTTTATGCATGTTGAACTTGCAAAGATTTTCACATAGAGATGTCTCTGAGTTATATATTGTTTAGGTTCTATAATATTCTCTACTGTTTGAGCATTGTTTGAATATTGTTTGTTAACTTAACCTCCAGAATAATTGCTTGAAGAATTAGCTTTATGATTGGAGAATGTAGCTTTATGGACAAGAATGAAGGAGGAGAGAGACAAGTATTATAACATGAAAGACAATATATTGAAACATAACTTGAATAACAATGACAAGGGTTAGCAAGCAAATTACTAGTCACATAGAGTATGGGGACTGAAACAGCCCTCATAATGGAGATGACATGCACTGTGGAGAGAGGCAGCATGAGCCAAATGCCTGGGCTTTGCATTGCTCTTCAGGTCTATGACTTGATTGCCAACAAGAAGGGTAATGACTTGTATACAATAAATCAATAAAAATAAAAGCATATTGAATATAAATAACTTACTGTGCTGACAGTGAATCCCATTAAAGCCCCGAGGACATTTACAAACATAGCCTATGAATGTGTCTCCTCGATAAGCTTCACTTATCTCACAGGTTCCTCCGTTATGGCATGGGTTGGGGATGCAGGGACCTGAAAGATAGGAAAAAAAAAGCTTCTTGATGTATGTGCTTAACAAAAGATATGATATCAACATTTTCAGTTGGCAATTTTCTTCTTGATATTCTATAGAAAAAACCACCAGGTGTGTGAACTCTGATGAGCAGTCTGAATTTAAATGTACATGCCATTATCACTCAGCTATGTGAACTCAGGAAAATAATTTAGTTTTTCTGTTGCCTTGGTGTGGTCTTTTGACAAATATTAATTTAATGAAATTAACTTTAATGGTTACACTACAGTTGAAAAGAGTTCATATATTAAAATATGCAGAACAGTACCAGCCTCACATTATGCATTAACAACAGCCCTAATTCAATTATTATTATTTTTAGAATTTCAGAATTGTGGAATACCTTCTGAATGTTGAACAATTAATACTGAGTTGCAGTTTCTAAAGAGCTTTTGACCTTGCTGATGCAAAAAGCTTTTGAATCTACTAGTGTATAGAAAGTCAAGTGCATAGATGATGATTGCAGTAATTTGTGGAATTTTCATAAATTTGAGGTGGAGAATGGCTTCATTGAAACTTCACCGTTAACCTGAAATACAGTAGCTCACCAAGAGTTAATAAGTGACTATAATAATCATCTTGTAGAATATGAGAATGTAAGTTCAACAAGGATGTAAAACTGGTGCATAAAATAGAGTCATTCTGAGATTTTCGTGGGCAAAACAGGCTGCTAACAGTGTGATCAGCTTGGAGCATCGAGCTACTGCTCTGTAGGATCTGTTGTAACAACATTCACTCCAGGTCACACTCCTGAGACAATGACAGAGCAACATGTGAAATCAAACTGGCCCAGGCCCACCTGGCACAGAACTCCTCAATGTTATATTCTGTATTCGGTAATATTCTACTGGTACAGTTGAAGTTTTTCTTGACAACCCTGTCAGTCTGGAGCTTTTTGTAAGAAACAATTCTTTTCTTCATTGCTTTCTTCTTTCAGAAGTGAAAGGCTGTGTCACAATCTGAGGGCATGCTCTCCCAATCTCCTGTGTTATTTAAAGCAAATAGTACAATCCACTACATACATTCAGCTTCCTGGAGTATTTGCTAATGGAATGAAGATAGAGCAGAATCTAGACAGAGTATAGATTCTGGTGAAGAGTCAGGGGAAACCAGGGAAAAGTTTTCCCTGGAAGAGGAAATAAGACCAAAAACCCCAAATAATTTGTAAAGATGAGAATATAAGACTATCTCCTTGTCCTACTATGAGATAAAACTGATGCCAAGCAGGGGGTCATTGAAAGTGTCTCTGCAGTACACTGGGTGCATGGGAGCCAAGATGAGAGGATAAACTGATGGGGGTGTCCTTCTGTATATATGTTTCTCTTATGGGCTGATGAATAAAACACTGTTTGGTCAATAGCCAGTCAGAAAGCATAGGTGGGGCCTCTGGACCAGGAGAAGGCTGAAAGGAGGAAGGCAGAGAGAGGCTTCAGAGAGAAGCCATGCTGCCAAAGAAGTAGTAACATGCAGGATTACAGGTAAACCACAGCTTTGTGGCAATACATAGATTAATAGAAATGGGTTAATAATTAAGACACAGCTAGCCAATAACATTGCCTAGCCATTGACCAAGAGTTTTATAATTAATATAGCATCTGTGTGTGTTTTTTGGGGGCCTAATAGGCTGGAAAGAAACTCCAGCAACAGTACACTTACTCACACTTACTTCTCCAGGTAAGTTAAAATGACTGTTAGCAGATGGAAGAACTGAGGAAATGTAGGAGAGATCAGTTGGGAGGATTTTTTTAAAAACACAGATAATAGAATACTTGTGAGAAAAAAATTGAAAAGAAAGTTATATGCTGCTGTTAGAAATTAATGTTAGGAAAATGAAACCAAACTCCTGATAATCCATGAGGCATGTATCAGAGTTCTGGAGGAAGAGCAAAACTTTAAGCTGAGATAAGAGGGAAGGTAGGGCTTTGGATACAATAATACTGAAGACATGCCAACTAACAGTGGCTCCACCGAACAAGGTTGGTGAAGGAATACTAGTCCACTAGAGCAAGTGGCTCTGGCAGGCTTTACACTTCTTCCCATTCCCCGTGTCTTTCATGAAAGAAAGAAAGAAAGAAAGAAAGAAAGAAAGAAAGAAAGAAAGACAACAAAAAACATTAAATTACATTCCTAAAACTAGTCACCAAGGTCTATTGCCTTATTTGGCCATTTCATTCTCCTGAGGCTGACTACCAAGTTTCAGCTATCAAAGTGTTGAAGTGAAGCAATCAGAGTCTCCTTTTGCTCATCTAATTAACATACCCATTTAAAATTAAACAACTCATCCTAACATAGGATTTCCCCTTTTACTTTTATAAACCTCTATTTTCAGCTGTTGGCGGCACATGTCTTTAATCCCAGCACTTAGGAGGCATTGGCAGGCAGATCTCTGTGAGTTTGAGGCCAGCCTGCTCTACAAATCGAGTTCCAGGACAGGTGCTTTCAAAGCAATACAGAAAAACCCTGTCTTCAAAAAACAAAAAAAAACAAACAAACAAACAAACAACAACAAAAACAAAAACAAAAACAAAACCATAGAAAACCCCTCCATTTCTTTCATTTTAGTATTGCACAGAGTCAGTAGAGATTTACCTGGACTAGTCTACTGCTTGTATTTGAGAGAAGGAAGTGTCAGACCTGTGACAAGTATTAGAGCAACTGGAAGAATTTTCTATCATTGTTCAGCATCATGTTAAACATTCCAGTTCTCGTCTCCCTTCTGTTTCTGATGTTCTTTCTTCAAAAGTTATCTAACAGTGAATCATGATGTAATTTACAGAAATAATCTCATCTACTCCTCACAGGAGCAGTGAGGTCCTTGTTCTCCTTGGTAGTCCCTGGCTATCATTATTCTGATGTTGAAAGGAAGACTAGAGTAAGTTGGTATTATTTAGCAGGTCATTATTTCCCAGTGATACATTTAAACCTCAAAATCAGAATCTGTGATTCCAGCAGGGGAGAACCAAGCAAAAATGACACTAGGAGATTTCATGAATCAATTCTCTTCCAAATAAGAAAAAAGCAAAAGCATCTTTACCCAAGAATATATAAAATATTTAAATTGTTACATAATTCTGAACAAACAGGGTACTATGAAAATCACCTAACCCTATCTTACAATTTAGCATATAGGAAAACATAACCTAATAAGAATTCAGTAAAATCTAAAAAGTACCATGCATGAAGAAAATTGGATTTAAGTAATTATACCTGGGAGAAAAAAAATAGTTATTAAAACCAAAAGCAATGAAGCTATTCTTGCTTCCTCAAGAGAGTGGAGTAATTATAGCAGAGAGAATAGAAACTTTTCCCACATTCACTTTGGTTTAAGAACCTCCACAGGGTATTAATAAAAGATTTGAATGTAAGGCCTTTGCTTTGTATTTCTAGGAGATAAAACTGAGGCCAAGCAGTGGGTCATTTAAAGTCTGTCTGAGGAACAGTGGAGCATAGGATACACATCTGTGGACACTTATCTTTGGAAAATTAGTCTAGGCAAGAAAGTGAGATCAGATCGGTTGAAACAGGGAAGAACGGGAAAGACTGGGACGACAAAGGGAGGAATCCAAAACAAAGCAGAAAAGCAAGCTACCATGGTGAAAAGGGCAGACAGTGTCCTGCCTGGGTTAATTCATGAAGGAAGTGCCTAGTAAGAAATAGTGATATCCATAATTCAGACTTAAGTCATTTTCAAAGTTCTGCTGTGAATTATATTTTAAGTGATCTAGCTTCCACCAATATCTGCTAATTAGAGGAGTATGTAGTGTGTGTTTGAGAATATCAGTGGGAAAATCTGTGGTATTTTAAAACATTCAAAAGGGAAGGGAAAGAAGGGAAGGGAAGGGAAGAAGGGAAGGAAATGAAGGGAAAAGTTTTGCTGGGGGTGGCGTCTGTGGTGATATATTGTTTATGATCTAATAAAGCCACTGAGATCAGAATGCAAAGCTAGTCACAGACATAGATGCTGGGAAACATCTTTAAACACAGGGCTCAGGAGACAGAGGCAGAGGAATCTGTGTGAGTTCAAGGCCACACTGGGCTATATGAGAGTGAATCAGTCTAAAAGAGAAACAGAGCTCATGCCCCTAATCCCAGAACTAGAGTGGTATGTAAGATAGAGCAGGGCATTCAGCATTCAGTCTTGGGCAAATAATCTCCAGCAATATTGAGGTCATGATAGATGCAGCCTTGGTAGAGGTTAGAGTTCTCTGGTGGCTTGGCTGCTTTGCTTTTCTTATCTTCAGCTTGAACCCCAACATCTATCTCTGGGTTTTTGTTATTCATGCTTTAGGTGTCCAATGGATTCCATTCAATACAGAAACCTGATGATAGGGGTTGACTGAGGGACCCTAAGTCTGAAACTCCCTGGGAGCACGAAAAAGTCTGTAGAGTAATCTTGGTTCAGTTTCTGGATTCTTTGCAGATGTGAGTTTGTGTGTTGAAGCTCTTATGTTTACATCCCAAAGGGGATCATGACCTCAGCTGACACCAGGGCTTTAGGAAATGGTTAGCATTACTACTGGTATTTTTCTCACTCTATAAAATCCAGTGTGTTTCAGTTAAAGAACATGGGTGAAATAAATCAATGGGACTATAAAAATAAAGGGCAGGCAAAGGAGGTTAAGTAACATATCTAATCAGAAAGCAAAGCTTTTGTCACACCTTGCCTGACTACAAAGTCTACAATCTTCCTAGCAAGCTATGCTTGCTCCCACATTGTCAGCAGGTGCATTAAAGTTAGTTATGACAGATGTAAACAGCATGAATTTGCTGAGCATATTTCTATAAATAATGCAGCACTCCAAAGCCTCCTCTAATGTAAGCATCTCAAAGTAGTTTCAGCAATTGAATCAGAACATGTTAGATATTGCATATATAGATAGAAAGGCTCTCTTATGATGCTTTATCTCATTATTATAATATTTAAATTCAATTGCACCAATGCAATTTTATCATAATTATA